TGTTGTTTTTATTTATCAGATGGTTAAATAATACCTTCCAATGAAATATTATAAACTAACATTTCATTTAACTATTGTTAAAAATAAATAAATTTATTGAATTAACCACTTTCATTCATCTAAATTCATTCTATATGAATGCTTATTTGATAAATTACATAAAATATACTCAACTAATTAATTCATTATTCAATTCACGTTTATTTGATTGTAAATTAAATATTGTTTTTATTAATTCTTTGTGTTTATTTTAGTTCTATTTATTTGTTTTTAAATCTGTATTAATTGAATTAAATATTACATTATATTTGAATATATCTGTATATTTCTTCTTTTATTCATTTCTATTTGTTATTCATAAAATATTGATATTTCTATTATTTATTACAATTTTACATTTTGTTTGTTTGATATTCTTTATTTTATTATTATTTTACATTTTGTTTGTTTCTAAACATCTTTTCATCTAATTTATTTCTATTTATTCTATATTTTATTATTTATTTCTTATTTATCTCATTTCATATATGTAAATATTATTGTGTTGTAATTTGATTGAATTAAATTTATTTCATTTAATTATTATCATTTTATACATATTTGTTATAAAATGTGATAAATGAAATTTCATGTATTATTGTATATTATTTATATATTTTATTATTCTTTCATTTTTCTATCATTATTTTGATATTATTCTTTATTTTATTCATTTATATAAATTACTGATATTCATTATTTGTGATTGTTATTCTTCTTTATTCTTATAGTATTGTTATTTTCTATCATTTCTTCTGTTTATTCATTTATCATCTTTTCTATTTTATTTTTTCTTTTTCAAATATTACAATGATTTGGTATTTTATTCTATATTTCATGCATTTCATTTTGTCGTTTTCTATTTTTATTATTTCGTTTTCTATTCTTATAGTTGATATATTGTAATTAATATATTGAATTAAATGAATATTTCTCACTATTATTAATTTATTTATTATTTATTTCATATTTATTTATTGTTTAAATATAATTGTTGTGAATTTTGTTATATCTTTGTAATTTCATTTTCAATTATAAATTTTCTATCATTTTATCTTCATAATTATTTCTTTATTGTCTTTTATATTCTCCATTTTCTTATTCTTTTATATTTCTCCTGTCTTTATATTCATTATTCTATATTTATTTTATCTATTCATATGTATTATGACTACTATTTATTATTATAATATTCATAACACATATAATTTTGATTAATTTAGGATTTTTCATTCACTGAAAGAATATCATGTTTATCTTCAAACTGACAAAATAAAAATAATCAAACACTAATCTGAATTTGAATTAATAAATTCAATGTACTATCTCCTTAGTATTCTAACAATTTAACAATTAATTATAACATGATATTTATAAGGAATTGATATGATATAAAAATGAAATAATCAATTATTCTATTTTTAATTGACTTATTTTTATAATAACAAAAATAAAAAACAAATTTGTTAAAAGAAAAAATGATGAATCAAAAAACAATACTTTCTATTTAAGCAAATAAAGTATGTTTGTATTATGTTATGATTATTTGTACATCATAACACTGGTTTGTTTTTTCTTTAAATCTCCTCGTTATTCTCCATTGATTTATTTTGTCTTTATTGTTTTATTAACTCATGTTGTATGTGTTATTAAATTCCATTTTGATTTTATTCGTTTTCTTAGTACATTTCTTAATTATGTTATTGAACATATCTCACTTTAACCTCAAATGATTCTCTTCATCTTGTTGTCTATTCTCTTCTGTACAAAACAATCAATATCCCTTTGTTAACTATCACTCAATAATGATAAAATGTATCTAATAAGACTTTCTCTTCTTAATTCAAAATCGTCATACCTTAATTGACTTAACAAATGAGAACAACATTGTTCATCAAACTCAAAATGAAATCCCGTGATGAGAATTTTCCCTTTTCCATATCTTCTAGTATATCCACATGGTTTGCCATCTTCATACAACGCAAAATAAGTACCTTCTACTTTACTGTTATTATCATCAAAATAACAACCTCCATTATAATAAACATACGCATAACTATTATTGTACTTTATCTTTACTATATGTGCACCTGACTCACTATTTGGTTGATATCCATCATACACTGGACCAATTGCATTTCCTTCGTAAAATTTTAAGTAACGTTCTCCTTCAATGGATAATTGTGAATTTGCATTGAACTTAATGTATGATGACGAAAAATATGCTCCAGCACATATCCCTAAGAACTTTCCGCCATTGAGAACAAACGACTTAATCAATTCAATTCCATCCATCTGAAGTTTGTCAAGATATGGCAAATCCTCACCTCCAGGAATGACTAACAAATCAGTATTTTCAACCCTTTGACTCGTCTTAATTTCTGAAGAAGAAATTACAAAAACATTAGCACAAGGGAAAAAATGATGAAATAAATGAATTGTGTTATAAACACAAAGAGTAGATGTTCCAATGTCATTATACACTCTGATAGTAGTGATCATCAAATGAAATAATAAAAATGAAGATGATTAAACAATGATGGAATTAAAAATATGAAAAAATATATTTCAAAAAGAGTTTTCTCTTTATTTCAAATTCACTTTTCTGACTTTCTTTAAGCATTTTACCACACCATTCTATGTCTAATTCAAAATGAGGACCAGAAAGAATAACTTTTCCTTTACCAATAATGTCAAAGAATAATGCATTCATTCCATTTGGATATTTTGCAAGAAAATGACTCTCTTTGTATTGATTTAAATTGTCAACAAATGAACATCCTCCATTATAATAAAGTTCGACTTTTTCATTGTTTTGATAATAAATAGGAATTATGACAGCTCCTCGTTCAGAATATTCTTCAAATCCTTGATACATTGGTTTATGAGCAATCCCATTGAAGAGTTTTAATGTTCTTTCTTCACATAGTGTTAATTCATTTGCAACATCTTTATTAAATTCAATAAATGATGATGCAAAATATGCTCCTGCACAAATTCCAAGATACTTTCCACCATTATTAATAAATTCTTTTAATACTTCAACTCCTTTGCCATTGAGTTTTTTGTGAAATGGACGATCAGCACCACCTGGCATAACAAACAAATCAGTTTCATAAATCCATTTACCTTCAATTAACTCATTAGCATATATTTTTCTTATCTGAGCTTCTTGGTATTGAGAATGAAGCATTTTTATTGAGTAATAAACACAAACATCAATAGTCCCTTCATCAGCATAAATAACTATTGATTTTATTGTCATAAAAAGTCTTACTTCTTCTTCAATTAGTCTAAGTTCTTTTATGTTGTGTTTTATTCCTGTTTGACTTTATAAATCTGCGAAAAATAATTCAATTTAAAACATCATGAAGAATTGAAAGTAACTTTTCTGCAATTTTGTGATGTGAATCAGATGTGAAATGAACACCATCTGCTCCAACACTCATTCCATCTAAATCAACAAATCCATCTATTATTTCTTGCTTTTTCCACATTTCAACAACAACTTTTAATTGATGAATAAAATTCAATGATTCTGAAATCACTGGATTTACTGTGGATTTCCAACTATCAATTGTACAGTATTGAAGTGGTGGTGGAATTAAAATAATTATTTTTGTTTGTTTTTGTACTTTTTCGATGTATTGTTGCAATGCATCAATAACTTGTTGTGAAGTTGCTTTTGAAAGAATGTCATTAATACATAATGCAAGGATTAATACTTTGTTTGTTGAAAATGGATTGGAGGTAATCTTTAATAAGAATTGATCATAGTCTTTTAATCCATTAGTAATGCCAAATGGGATGTTTTCATATTTCAATGAACGAGCAGGTTTTCCATCAACAATACAATTGACTTTTGTAAATTCTTTTTTTAATTGTTCAATGACAATGTTAGAAAATCGGTCTTTGGAAGAATAACGTTTATAAGTCACAGCTTCAATTCCATAAAGATTTGAATCGCCATAAAAGAATATTGAAACTTCATTATTCATCAATTAATTATTTTTATTAGTTTTAAAACTAACGTAAAAATAATAAATTTTTTATTTCTGACAATAACAAAATTTTACTTGAGGAAGTGATAAATACAATTCAATGTTAATAAACTCACTTTCTTTTGATCTTTTGCAATAGAAATTCTTTATAAATTCTTTTTGAATCATTTCTTCATTAATTTTACTTTCATTAAGAATCCAAGTATAAAATATACTTGGATTGGTTATTTCAAACTCAGAATAATGAAGATAAAGGGAATCAAGATAAGATGGTAATTCTATATTATGAGTATTACAATTTTCAATGTGAAGTTGCTTAACATTAATACAATTTATTTCACTAAATGATATATGACTTTGTGATAAACCAAAACATGATACAGTTAAAGAAGTCAAAGAAGAAGGAAGTAAAGGTGAATATGAAATTAATCCCAATGTTTTTAAACTACAAAGATATGAATAATATTGGATATTATGTTGTTTAAAGAATCATTTAATACTAATTGTGTAATTAATAATTTCTTTGGTAAGGAATTAGAATAACATTGTAAAAATTCTAATGAAGTAGGATAAAATGATTCAACATCAACACTTTTAATGATTTTGTTTAAGTACAATACTTTTAATTGTGTTAATAAACAAAGACTACCATAAGTATTACATGACAATGACAAATATGTTAACATTCGATATAACATAATTGGAAATGATTTGTTTGAACACAAAGAAAGTCGAATTAATTGAGAACAATGAGAAATTTGAATAAAATCAGTAATTGTTAAAGCTGTTAAATTATTAGGAAGAGATAAATGTTGAATATATTTTCATTGAAGATGTAATTCTTTAAGAGAAGATATTTCATAGAAATATTTTGAATCTAAATGTGTTAAAGGAGTTGGTGGATTGAAACAAATTGAAGATGTTGTTGATTTGATTGATTTTATGAATGTGAATGAACTAAAATCCATTTCAATTTTCTTGTTGATAAATCCATTTATTTTTATATGTTCAGGATAATACTGAAGTATTGTATCATTATTAAATCCTTTTTCTGTTATGTCAAATCCATCAGTTATTCGTTTATTGTGAATAATACCATCATTAGAAATAGTACAATAACATTCTTTGTAACAAAATGTAATTCTTTTAAGGAGTTTCTTATTTTTAATGACTGATTCTAATATTTCTTGTTTATCAAATTCAATAATTACTTTTCTAATATTGAATTGATCAATGTGATTAATAAAGTTGATATCAACAAATCCTTCCATCATAACATAGACTCTTTCAAAACGATGATATTTATTTCTAATAAAATCATTAACTCTTAAGTGTTTCTTAATATTAAGTGATAGACTTGTTAAAGAAGTAAATTCTGAAAGATCAAAAGAGTATTTGGGATTTTTTAATGTTAATGAAGCGATTCTTACTTTCTAATAATCATTTCTTAATATTGTAGATTTTGGATTAATAACAGAAGTCGAATCAATTTAATTTGTGAAGGAATTAATGGAAGAAATTGAATAGTTTGTTCTGTAAATCACACTGTTTCAAGATGAGGGAATAATTTCATTTCTTTTATAAACGATTTTTGGAGTTGAAAATTACATTCTTTAATATGAAAATATTCATTAACTTTCTCAACAGAATATGATGGATTGATATGTAACATTTGAAGCGAGTCTTTACATTTTTTATTTATTAATGTAAACAATTCACCTGTTTTTATGTTATTAAAATATAATACAATATTTGACAGATAAATCTCTTCAAGTTGTATCTTTTTTTAATCATTGTAAATGATTGATTGAAGTTTAATTTGTTAATTCCTTTTTTTGAAAAGAAATATATTGTTGACTTTTCATTTATATGTAATAATTTTAATCTTCGTTTTGTTTTGCTTATCTCTAATTCATGTGTTGGAGTAATCCTTCATCTCTTAACAACTTTCTTGAAATTAAATCAGCTAGTCGAATAGGCTCTGGGATTTTATGTAAACAACATTCTTTACAGATAATTACTGCTGTTGAAAGTGAAACTTTATTCCCACAACTAACAATGATTGGATTTATACTACCACCTCTACTTCTTATAACCTCACATAACGCTTCTCCATTTGAAGTACTAACTGTAGTTGATTCACCTGGTTTGAGTTGTGAAGTAATTATATTAATCTCCTTCTTTCCTATCCCATCAACACATAATACAGTCTACATTCTTACAACTATTCTGTGGATAAAACACAAAAAATACAAACCTTTGCAACACCAATTGATGGTATATCACAATAAACTCCAACATGAGTTGCAGAACCAAATCTTCGAGGATGATAATATCCATTTCCATCAACAAGCACAACTTGTGGATATAACTCAGAGTACTTTTCTTTACAATCGTTGAGTAGTTCATGATAAACTTCTACTTCTCTAAATCCAAGAAATCCTGAAATATAAGGAATTGTAATTATTTTACGACATGTTAATGTCAATAACTCTTTTCCAGAAGGATATTCACAAACAACTAAACAACCAATTGCAAGATTTGGATGATTTGTTGAAAATGAAATATCCAATCCCTAATTATTAATAATTTATCATATCAATTAATAATGTTCTACTTATAAACAAACAAAATAAACAAACACCAACACGTAATAATGTATTTAATGTCCAATCATGTGAGTCTTCAAGTATTACATCTTTAGAATGTAAAATTTGATATTTTTCCCATTGTTTTTCCATTAATTATTGTTTTTAAGTTTAAATTCACAAAAAAGTAAAATAACGAGAAATTAAAATAAAAAGCAATTAATTAAGTATTAATAGAAATAACTTCTATGTTAATGGCTCAGGGGAGACTAATCACATCAATGAATCATCTTCAAGCAACTCTACTGAGTATGTTTGATTGTGATAAAAGCAGTATTCCATGACGTCCATCATGTTTTTAATCACAAGGTTTTTTACTTCTTTTTCGATGTCAATTTCAATTTTTAATTCTTTAATTAATCTATTACTTTCTTTATTCATTAATCCATTGATTGAGATTACTACTGGAATTATTTGACATCTTTTAATTTTTCTATTTTCATTAGAATATTCTTTAATTCATTATACTTATTTCTTTTCTTCCAATACACTCAATTAATATTGTGATCAGCCACAATTGTCATATCAAATAATAGACCAGTTTTATTCTTTTTATCTAATACATATATGTCTGGTCTTTTGTGTTATTGTCCATCACTTTTAGGCATGATTTGTTTGTTCCATATCATTGTGATGTCTTTATATTGGAACACTGTTTCATATGGGGGTTTTTTATATTGTTTATTTCCAGTGTATTTTCTTATTAATCCCTCCCATATTATAATGCCTATATGGTCATGTTTTTCCATTTGTGATTTATTATGATAAATACAAGATATTAGAATGTGTTCTACTGTTGTTATCTTGTCTTTACAAAGTGTGGAGTATTTCAATCTTTCATTTTTCATTATTTTTGATTTTCTATACCCACAAAATATTGCTCCATCTTGCATTTTAGTTAATTGAAGGAATACATTCTTTTTAATATTGAATGACTTCCATGCTTTCACTGTAGTAGTTTTATCTACTCATTTTGACTCAAACCATCTTCTAAAATGTCACTAATTTGATGGGACTTCCATTTTTTGATGTATTTGTCAATAATTTCTTTATTTCTATTACTACTTCTTTTTCTTTTTTCTTTTCTATCCCTTCATTTATTATTTCTTCTATTTTTGTTTCATTTATTTTATGAATTGATGTTTTTTAATTCTATTCCATATTCCCTTCTTGTTATACCATCTATCTAATATGTTATTTCATATTTCACTTTCTCTGGTACAGTAGTACATCACTGTTCTTACTAATTCAAGGTAAAACAAAACATAAATAATAAAATAAACAAACAATAAATTAAAACAGAGATAAATAATGATATTATTTATTTTCTATTATTCTTTATTCAGATGAGAATAATCATTTCTTTATACTTTAATATTGTTTATTCTTCATTTATTCTTTTGTTTTTCATTAATGAGAATATTGATTTTCTATTTATCAATCTTTTATTTGAATTAATTTGATTTCTTTTTAAATTTCATCATTTTAATTATTCTCATTGAATTATCATTTATTTCTTATTTTATGATTGAATATTTCATTATTATTATATTATTATATAATTTCATTTATTATTAATATCATCATTTATATCATTTTATTTTCTTATTATTATTTCATATTATCTTATTTCATTCTTTCTATTATTATTTATTATATTTCTTATTAAATTACTTCATCATATTCAATTATTATTTGATATTTCATTATTTGATTTTATATTAATATTTGTGTGTTGTTTTTGATTTTCATTCATTTCTCATTCATTTTCATTTAATAAAATAGAAGAATAAAAATAATGAAAGAAGATAAATAAAATAAGAATAAAATAAGATAAAAACAATGATATTGTTATTATATTATTATGTTATTTTAGTTTTGATTTTATATTTATTATTTTATTTTTATCTTTTATAAACATCATTCATTTCTTCTTTTTGTCATTTCCTCTTTTCTAAACATCACTTAATTTATTCTATTTATTCTATTTTCTTTATTCATGTTGGTATTTTATTTAG